GAGCTGCGGTGGCCCTGAGGTTGACCATGAATGGTGTGAACTGTGTGCAGGGGCTTCCTGGGGCCAAGGCTGTGAACTAGTCAAACTGGTGTGTGGACAGATGACAACTAGGCCAGGGAGCTTAGGAAGCTGCGGAGAAAGCTGGAGCTCAGAGAATTCTTTTTTAAAGATTTATTTATGCATACAGACCTGGGGTACAGGCCAGAGGGGCAGGGGCGGTGAGAGGACTCACCAGAGACGGAGTGGGGAGCAGGACAGGCAGATTGATGAAGTACACTGCTGAGGGGAGCAGCGGGGAGACAGGATCGGTCTGCCGCGCCATGTGGTCACCCCCCTGCCTGGGGACTGAACTTGTGCTAAAGCAGCTGCAGCCAGCTTCATCATGCTGTGCTTTGACCCGTTGTGCCACCAGGGAGGGCCCGCTCAGAGAGTTCTAAGGGAGAGGGTAGTGACCCTGGTACCCAGGGCACTGGAGTGGGAGTGGAAGGGAGCCCAGAGGACCTTGAGAGCTGGGGATGACCACTGTCCCCTCCCTTCAAGGCCCTGCGGCCAAGTAGGAGACGAGAAGCTAAAGCCACAGGAACCCGGGCCAGACAGATATTGTCGACTCTTAATTACCACCGTCCCTGGCGCGGAAGGGCCCGCGCAGGCGCCTCTCTAGATAAGCCGTGTCTCCTTGAGTTGAGGATGCATCCCAGCGCACGCCTCACAGCGCCCGCGGCCAGCCTGTCTGCGCTCACCCCCCGCATGATCACTTCTGCCCAGTTCTGCCTTCCTGGCATTTGGTTTGGGCTCATTTTGCAACCACCCGTGAGGAGGTCGGGAGGAGGTTTGATTCACATTTATAGGCGAGACGACGCCCGTGTGGTTAGGAGACTTGTCCTGGGCCACACAGCTAGCCAGAGGCGGCTCTGCGGAGACCCGGATGTCAAGGTCTCCTCACCTCAAGGGTGGGCCCCTGAGCCTTGGTGTGGAACCCGCTAGGCACACGGTGGAGCTGAAGGGGCGCGATCCTGTCACGGGCTCCAGGGGCCCCCTCTGACCAAATGCATGGCTGTGGAATCTTGACCAAACTCAGAGGGACTGGAGGAAGGAAAACGACCTGTGGGCGCATGGGCTGGCGCTGTGGCTCAGGGGAGGTGTGGGTGTGGGGGCGCTGGAAGGAAGCTGGCCAGGAGACAGTGCTGGCTCTTAGGGAGCTGAAGGGCACCCGTGGTCTCTCCCTTTGAGGCTGTCGAGTTTAGGGGGTGGTGTGGCTCCCCCAGAGGGGTCAACCTGTGCACTTTCCCCATTTTACAGATTAACAAACAGACACAGGAGAATACCACCCAGCAAGGCAGAGCTGGGAGAGGAACTTGGGGTTGGGAGCTCCCTGTGTGGGGACCGGTGGAGGGGCTGGTTGTTCTGCGGGGTTCTCCGGGGAGGTGGGGCGGGGTCTCCGGGCTGAAGGAGGATGACTGACCCTGCCCAATGAGGGGCTCACCTGTGCCGTGTCCTCCTCAGGGGCGCCCACCCGCGATGTCCTGCTGGTCTCTGCCATCATCACCGTCAGCCTTAGCGTCACTGTCGTCCTCTGCGGCCTCTGCCACTGGTGTCAGCGCAAACTGGTGAGGCTCCCGAGGGCCCTGCACCCCGCCCCCCACAACTACAGGCTCCTGGACGCTGTCAAGGGCGCCCACCTTCCACAGTCTGGAGCAGTTGGGTGTGAGTTCGGCGCGTTGCCCCGAAGGTCTGTGTGTGCCCCCCAGTTACACTCCTCGGGGCGCATTCGTGGGCCGACACGGGCGTCACGGGCTCGCCATCGCGGGGTCTCAACTACACGCACGCGCCCCACCTCCCGCGGAAAGAACCGCAGAGGCGCGCGGCCCCCTCCCCTCGGGCTGGGGGGGCGTGCCCGTGGCCTCGTGGCCAATGGGACACGCCGCCCCCCCACGCCCCCCGCGCCCAGCTCCCGCACATTCATCCTGGCTCTGGGGTTTGGACAAGCACAAACGGCTTCTTTTCAATTTTAACGAGGCCTGGGGAATTAACGAGCAGGATTAGGCCATCAATAAGTAACGAGACCATCGGGAGAGACATTCGTCACCCGAGGCCTCCAGGCAGGAGGGGTGGCTGGGAGCCGCCGCGGGCCCCCGGCTCCCCTGGGGAGGGCAGCGGCTCTGCGAGACGCCCACTCATCCCGGCCCTGCAGCCCCTGCCCAGGTGTGGTGGCGACTTCTGGGGGCTGCAGGAGGGCCACGCGAAGGTGGGCCCCGAGGCGCCCGGCGCCGCACCTTTCCCAGGGCCGGTGAAGGGCAGTCCTGGGCCAACGCCTGCCTCCTTGAGACCCAGGATGGGTGCGGAGGGCGCCCCACTCTCTCTCTAAGGCACCCCAGGGGCAGGGCAGTGGCCAGTGCACTGTGTTGGGCAAGGGACCTCATTTCTATGAGAGAACAGCCAGGGTGAGGGTTTTGGGGTTTGGGGGAGGGGCGCTATGGGAAGGACCCCAAAGAGGCGCAAGCCTCCTTCGGGATAGGCAAACTGAGGGGCTGGCTGGGAGGTGACTCTGCCCCCTTCACCTGGGGAGGCGCCTGGCCTCAGAGAAGGCCCCTTGGCCTTGGCGAGAGTGTGCTTGGGTGTGAGGGAGCCGGTGTGCTCCTAGGCTGCACTGATCCTGGCTGGCCTGTGCTGCCTCTCTCTGAGGCCTCGGGGGGAGGGTGCAGTGTGTCACGGGGGGAGGGGGGTGTGCAGTGTGTGTCACGGGAGGGGGTGCAGTGTGTATCAC